TTTTTAATTTTATTTTACCTGTTTGTTATTACTGCTAACCAGGCAAAAGGCCTATGTGAGTGTGAAATTAAACGAATAATGTATGTTACTGCGTGTTGTGAAAGTGAGACTCTTTTATTTTATCCATTTTCAGTTCCAACTCAAATATTGTTGAACACAATTTTGGTCTCTTACCTTCGGTTTATAAGCGGGTTTCCCTCTTCGTGTTTTTCTTTTTATTTTTTATTTTATTTTTATGTTTTTTTAATCGGAACAATAGATGTTCTCATTAAATAAATAAAAACCAAAGTCTCAATACAACAACCGAATAAAGAGAGAACCACTCGCAGGTGGTCTAGAAGACTACATCATCAATAACTAGGGGACTCAAGCAACTAAACATGTCACTAACGAGACTTGAGTCCCTCACAACAATCATCAATAAAATGAAACAAAGAATAATAAAAGGAGACTTCAGTAACTAGACTTCCACTGATCCTCAGGACCCTAGACCATCCTTGCTATTGTCCTCTTCCACTCAATGATGATAGTCGACTGACCTCTGCAAATTCTTTCCAGTCCTTAACTGCAGCTTCAACAATAAGATGAGCGGGCCTGTCTAAACTTTCAAAAATTCAAAGGTTTCTAGACATCCAAAGCCACCATAGGATGTATGTAGATAATTGGATACAGGCTTCAGAAGTATCATTGTGCTTTAATTCTGATATATTCCACCACCAACCTTTGGAAGAGTCTAAGTGTTAAAGGCCATCCCAGTTGACAGGGGCAAGCTTCCATACTAGCTCAGCTTTAGAACAGGAAAATAATATATAATCCACAGTTTCCTCAGCAAGCCCACAAACTTTACATACTGGATCAACCTACATACCTTTCTTCTTTGAGTTCACTCCCACAGGTAGGATTCCAGAGACACACTTCTATAAGAAGTGTTTAATCTTACCTTTAATTCTGAGTTTCCATAATCTGGTTCTGGCAAGTTGATCCTTGATGTATGATGCGCTACTCGGTGTTGTACCATGTTGTGGATCTTTTGCTGGATGAGTGAGGCATAAGTTTTAGAGACTGAAAACAGGCGTTTTTTGTCCTGTGTCCTTTTCTACACGTCATCAACATCAGGGTTAAGTGTGGTAATGTTCTGAATGGCCTTACAATCTTCACTTGAGAAATTTTGTGCAACGATACCAGCATCCTAGTTCTTGCCATCTTGTCTAAGTAGTTGATATACCCAAGTCAGATTGTCCCCAGATCCAGGTTTGAATTTCAGTTTTTGGCCTTTAGGTTGGTACCCAAAAATCTTCTACAATACTAGTATTCTTCCGATTGTGAATCAGTGACTGCATCCACCTCCTACATTTATCTCTGACTTTTAACCATGAGTTCCAAAGCCATGAGGCATTGCCTTTCCTGTGTGCAACAAATAGAGATGATTCTGGGAATTATCTGGATTTAAGTACTCTGCTTACCAGTAGGTGAGGCTGTGTTAATATTCTCCAGATTTGTTTTGCTATGAGTGCCTTATTGAAAGTTTGGATATCTTGGAAACCAAGAGCACCATGAGGTTTGGGCAGAGTTTAATAGTCCCATGCTTTCCAATGTATCCGCCTGTTTGAATTCTCTCCCTTACTCCACCAGAAGCCTGCACAAACACTTGCTATTTTCTTGCATAGTCCCGAAGGAAGTGTGAAACAAGACATTGTGAAGACTGGAAGTGCATTAACCACTGCTTTTATAAGGACTTCTTTGCCCGCTTGAGAAAGCCATTTATTTTTCCAACTAAGGATCCTTCCTTGCTCTGCAGAGAGAACATAGTTAAAAGCATCCCTTTTTTATTTCCCAATACCTAATGGTAGCCCCAAATATCTGGAAGAGGAATGCAGCTTAATACCTTGAAACTCTTGGCAGCAGAATTCCTGGACCTAAAGTGACGTATTTTTGCTGAAGAAGATTATAGACTTCTAGAGGTTAATCTTTTGCTTTGTAAAGAGGTGATAATCCTGTAGAATTTGTAGGAGCTTATGGACCTGAAAGACTTCAACTTGCAGAATATAAGCAAATCATCTACAGATAATAAATGAGTGAGCTTAGGGCAATTTCTTGCTATCTTAAGCCCTTTGAAACCTCCTCTTGCAACTTCGGATTCTAGCCTTGCAGTCATTAAGTCAGATATTAGAATAAACAAATAGGAAGATAGAGGATCCCTCTATCTGAAACCTCTAGAGGTTGATACATATCCACAAGGATGTCCTTGAAGATTAAATGAAAAAATAGGGGCAGTAATACATGCCATTATCCACTTAACAAAAGTAGAGTGAAAACCCGTTTTTAGCATAGTAAGCTGAATGCTTTTCCACTCAACTCTGTCAAATGCTTTAACCATATCCAATTTTAAGGCCATAAAACAGTGTTTTCCATTTACGTGTATATTATGAAAGTTGAATACTTCATGTGAAATCAAAACTTGTTCAAGCAGTTGCCTACCAGGTAAAAATGCTGCCTGATTTTCAGAGATACAATTTGGAAGGAAATTCATCATTCTCAAAGCCAAGATTTTAGATATAATTTTATAAATGACAGCAGAAAGGCTAACTGGCCTAAACTGAGATATGGATGTAGGATTGGGACTTTTTGGCACCAGAGTAATAAGAGTATGCTTCCAATACCTGAGCATTTGTCCTGTTGTAAAGAAACTCTGTACAACTTAGCAAACATCTTCCATCACAATTGGCCAAAAGTGTTGATAGGAAAGTGCTGACATGCCATTCTCACCAAGAGCTATATTGGGGTGCATACTAAACAGAGCTTTCTTAATGACTTCTTCTTGAACATGGGAAAGAAGTTCTTCATTCATAGCATCAGAAATTCTATTTAGAATAAAAGGCAGTAAAGTATGACCATGTGTAGACCCTTGAGAAGTGTATAGCTTGGTGTAGTAATCACTGATGTTTCTCTCTATCTCTTTCTGGTCCTCACAAAGCACATTGTTCTCATTGAGAAGTCTTTCAATGGAATTGATCTTCCTTTTTTCGAGGGTGTATGCATGGAAAAGTTTTGTGTTTTTGTCCCCCTCTTTTAGCCATAGGATTCTGGCTTTTTGTTGCCAAAAGGCTTCCTCAGAGCAATGTACTTCATCCAACTCCTTTTTGATGTTGTCCCATTTGGCCCCATTACTTTCTCCTCCTTATTTCCTCGGTTCTTCAAGTGTTAGGGTGAGAGAAGATATTTTCATTTTGCTAAAGGCTCTAAAATTCTTAAGCAGGGCTTGTCTTGCTTTTTTTATCTTCTCTTTGACAGTGAACATAGGTGTTCCACTTGAATTTGAGCTCCAGGCATCTTTAATCACCTCATTTAGTCCTTGTTTGAGCCACCTCAAATTGAGTTCTTCTCCCTTTGCCTTGTGATCGTTGATTGTTCCTGAGAATGAGCATATGGTGGTCTCATGCACTTCTGAAGATACTGGTAACCTGGGTATTAAGGTATGAGGCTAGCCATTCAAGAGAAGCAAACATTCTGCCCTGCCTTTCCTCCACATAGTCCTCTCCCTCCCTATTGTTCCACAAGTGAAATAATAGCCTTTAGTTGAGATTTCCTGCATTCCCATATCTGCTACAAAGTTTCTGAATCCTGCTAGGCTATTCTCATTTCTGGTCTGCCACTTTTTTTGTTTGAGTGTTAAAGAAGGTCATACCAGTCCTCTTCCATGCACCATCTTTCACCCCAATTTTGCTTTTCATTCCTCAGGTAGTCCCATTGTAGTTCTCTTCTACTTTGAATGAGCTGAGATAAACAAAGATAGACCAAACTGTTGGAGTAGTATACCCGGCGTTCCAATCAGATTGGACGTATTCTACTTGTAAATACAATCTATTGGAATTATATCAAATAATAAGGCATTACTTTATTTTAAGAGTAAGTATTTATCATATATTTGCACTTAAGATAAAATCCCTAGATCAGTTATAGCTATAAGATATGGTTGCGCATAGAGATGGTGATCATGGAACATATCTTGAAAGTTGTGATCTTAAATACAGTTCCAAGTCGTTGGATGTTTCGAGATGGGATAT